ATGCCATGATCTTAGTTTTTTTGATGTTGAGCTTCAAGCCCACTTTTGCACTCTCCTCTTTTACTCTGAGCAAGAGGCTCTTTAGATCCTCTTCACTTTCAGCCATTAGAGTGGTATCATCTGCATATCTGAGGTTGTTGATCTTTTCCCCAGCAATCTTAATTCCCACTTGTGATTCATCCAGGCCAGCATTTCGCATGATGTACTCTGCATATATATTAAATAAGCAAGGTGACAATATACATCCTTGTCGTACTCCTTTTCCTATGCTAAACCAATCAGTTGTTCCATATCCGGTTCTAACTGTCGCTTCTTGGCCCTTATACAGGTTTCTCAAGAGACATGTGAGGTGGTCTGGTACTCCCATCTCTTTAAGGACCTGCCATAGTTTGTTGTGATCCACACAGTCAAAAGCTTTAGCATAGTCAATGAAGCAGAAGTAGATATTTTTCTGGTACTCTCTTGCTTTCTGCCATTAGAGTAGTATCGTCTGCATATCTGAGGTTGTTGATCTTTTTCCCAGCAATCTTAATTCCAAGGGATAGGATACTGTAAACATGTATTTGTTGTTACGTCTGTGTCCTGCCCTTATTCTTCAAGCGGTGACCTCTTCTACTCTAAAGCATGTACCGTATCATTTGGCTGGGGCACATGCAAAACGGGGAGGTGGTATAGCATACCCAGTATTTTGCCCAGTCATAGAAGTGTGATATGGAGCGGACTAAACAAATCTCCCAAGAAGTAAGAACATAAGAGAAGCCAATGTTGGATCAGGCCAAAGGCCCATCCAGTCCAACACTCTGTGTCACACAGTGGCCAGAAATACCAGTGCCATCAGGAGGTCCACCAGTGGGGCCAGGACACTAGGAGCCCTCCCACTGTTGACCCCCCCCAAGCACCAAGATGACAGAGCATCACTTGCCCCAGAGTCCCTATCTATACCTTGTGGCTAATAGCCACTGATGGACCTCTGCTCCATACGCTTATCTAATTCCCTTTTGAAGCCGTCCATGCTTGTAGCCGCCACCAGTACATTGCAAAAACAAGTTAAACTTACATTTATTCAAGTAGATCCAGTTCACATTCAGGTTGCAGTCCAAAGAAGAGACACCTAATCCGAAGAGCACTTTCCCTCTCACAAATGGCCAGCTTGCCCGGCGTCACATGTGTGGGAGTAGGAGGGCACCGTCTCAACAGGAGAGATGTGTATCTCCGTGGAAGGCCATGTGTGGAGGGGTAGAGGAAAAAGGGAGAGGGGAGGTCAGGGGAGCTCCCAAGCGAAGACTTTTAGTCACTTTCACACAGGGGTCATTTCGTAGAAAAAGTGGTGCAGGAGCTCATTAGCATAACTCATTAGCGTAACTTATCTGCATATGCCACACCCCCTGACATCACCGGAAGTGTGTCAGAAGGCAACACCCACCGCTCAGGCTCCACTGGACTGTTTTGGATTGCTAGCTATTGGGGGCAGGGGATGTGCAGATTTGTCCCTTGCAGAGGAGGGAGAGCTTGTACCTGAATAAAACCTGGTCTTAAAGGTGCCACTGCACTGTTTAGAACCGGGGGGCCAAGGGGAGCTCTCAACTTACCTGGCTGCTTCTTGCTCTGACTGAGGGCTGCTGGGAGCAGGGGGTGGGGCTTTTTGCATGTGCCCAGCCCCAGGGCTCTTTACTGCCGGAGCTCCGCTCCTGTACGCTCCTGCAGGAAATGACCCCTGCTTTCATACATGCTAAATAATCCAGTTTCAAACCAGTGACAGTTTGCAAGTGGATTTTGCTGTTTCACACAGTAAAATCCAGTTGCAAATGCATTGAAAGTGGATTGAAAGTGCGTTATTTACTGTTTGTGAAGCCGCCCGAGAGGCATCCCAAAGAGATAACTCCTGTGTACGCTTAGAATGATGTAGCGCACCCCCCTCCCCCCAATGTCCGGGCACGCTGAGTTGCTCACTCCAACACCAAGAGCATAGTTTGGGGTGGGCTGCCCAGGCATTCGTTCATGGCGCTGCCACAGAGGAAGTTGGGATGGAACTCACCTATCGCTATAGAAGCCAGGGAATGAGGTAATGGCTTGCGAAACTGCTTATACTGAATCAGACCCTTGGTCCGTCTCGCCGGCAGGGCTCTTTTTGTAGAAAAAGCCCAGCAGGAACTCATTAGCATAATAGGCCACGCCCAACATCAGGAACTCATTAGCATATTGGGCCACACCCCTGACAGCACAGCTCATTAGCACATTAGGCCGCACCCCCATGTTACCAGAAGTGTGGTCATCCAGCCACACCCACCTTTCACTTCTTATTCCGTTTACCTTGTTTGTTGTCAAAACCAGGGCCTTTTTTTTGTGGCAGGAACTCCTTTGCATGTTAGGCCACACACCCCTAATGTAGCCAATCTTAATGAGTTTCTGCTGTTGGGTGTGGCCTGTTATGCTAATGAGTTCCTGCTGGGCGTGGCCAACTTGGGAGCCAGCCGGAACTCCGTTCCTGTGCGTTCCTGCCCCAAAATAGCCCTGCGTCTCGGTATTGTTTATACTCGGACTGGCAGGTGCTCTTAATGCAGAGAAAAACCTTTCCCAACACCCATAACCCGAAATCCTTGGACTGGAGATGTTCGGGATTGAACCTGGGACCGTCTGCATGCCAAGCTCTAGCACTGAGTCTGAAGCTCTCAACGTTGGGTCTACTCAGGGTCTAAAAACTGCTTAGTATGGCTCAGAGATGCATTATGGCATTCAGTTCGTGTGGATTCTTTCATAATTGTGCGGTGATGTCTCGTTCATTCCTTCTGAATCATGGTGTACGACGCTCATATGAACAGAATCATAGAGTTAGAAGGGGCCTTAAGGGTCATCTAGTCCACAATGCAGGGAATATAAGAGGAGATCTGCTGGATCAGATCTTGTGCCCGACTGTGGCTTAAAAGACACAGAAGATCGACAAGCCCGGAAATGCTGTTTTGGAAAAGTGGAGTTTAGGCTGCCCACTGGTGGTGGTGATGGGAAGTGCCATCAAGTTGCAGTGGACTTAGAATCCTAGAATCCCAGAGTCGGAAGGGTCCATCCAGGCCATCTAGTCCAGCCCCCTGCTCAGTGCAGGGTCAGCCTAGAGCATCCCTGAGAAGTGTTTGTCCAGCCGCTGCTTAAAGACTGCTAGGGAGGGGGAGCTCGCCACCTCCCGAGGCAGGTGATGCCACTGTTGCACAACTCTGTCAAAACGTTTCCCCTGATATCCAGCCGGGACCTTCTCGCCCTTAATTTAAACCCATTCTTGTGAGTCCTCTCCTCCGCTGCCAACAGGAACAGCTCCTTGCCCTCCTCTAAGTGACAGCCCTTCCGATACTTCAAGAGGGCCATCCTGTCCCCCCTCATAAGAACATAAGAGTTGCCAATGTTGGATCAGGCCAAAGGCCCATCCAGCCCAACACTCTGTATCACACAGTGGCTAGAAATACCAGTGGCCATCAGGAGGTCCACCAGTGGGGCCAGGACATTAGAAGCCCTCCCACTGTTGGACCCCCCCCCAAGCACCAAGAAGACAGAGCATCACTTGCCCAAGAGCCCCTAGCTATACCTTGTGGCTAATAGCCACTGATGGACCTCTGCTCCATATGCTCGTCTAATTCCCTTTTGAAGCTGTCCATGCTTGTAGCTGCCACCACTTCCTGTGGCACCACTTCCCTCTGCCTCCTCTTCTCCAGACTGAACATCCCCAAGTCCCCCAGCCTTTCTTCAGAGGGCTTCTTGGTCTCCAGGCCCCCGATCATCCTCGTCGCTCTCCTCTGCACCCGCTCCATTCTACTCACATCCTTTTCGAAGTGGGGCCTCCAGAATAGGGTGACCCCAGCAAAGAGCTTTCAAGGCAAGAGATGTTCAGAGATAGTTTGCCATGGCTGTGTAGTGAACCCTAGACTTCCTTGGTGGTCTCTCATCCAAGTACTAACCAGGGCCGATCCTGCTTAGCTTCTGAGATCAGATGAGATCGGGCTAGCCTGTGCTGTCTAGATCAGGGCACTAGCAAAATGTAAATGGTAAATTCTTCCGGGCAAGGTTTTGCTTATGTTCCCTCAAGAGCACTACGATCAGGAAACCGCCATCTCCTGGAAGTTCCAGGTCCCCGAGAGATTACGTTTGCCCCTACTAGGGCCAGGGCATTTTCGGTGGCGGCTCCTACCTGGTGGAATGAGCTCCCAGAGGAGATCCGGGCCCTGCGGGACCTTATGCAGTTCCGCAGGGCCTGCAAGACGGAGCTCTTCCGCCAGGCTTTCAACTAGGAGCCGCCGCCGCCACTATCCTACCACCAAGGTAGTATTTCATCGGCTGCCCTACAAAAGTGGGGCAGGTATGCACAGGCAGAAGGCGTAAACAGAATAGGGGGACGCTACTGAGATAGCTGGCCACCAAAGCTGGATGGTTATTCCCATCTTGGTTGAATGATGTAGCACCGTGTTATAGGATGGTTTTGGGGGTTAAAGATTGTATTTTATTGTATGTTTTATTGTATTTTAGATTCCGGCTTTGCCGCCTGTGAACCACCCTGAGCCTTTGGGAGGGTGGTATAGAAATCCAATAAATAAATAAATAAATAAATAAATAAATCTGGGGAACAACCATGCATAAGGTGGGGGACATGCTATAAATGCAAATATTAGGACAGTGCCCTCCCCAACCAGTTGCTTTTGCTGAGATAATCAAGGATTCCAAACTTTCAAAAACCACCGATTTTGAAGACCACTTTGAATACCTTTGGTAGAAGTTCTTCCATTCGATATGCAACGAAACAGATGTGCTTAGCGATCATTTCACACTGAAAACACGCTGCTATTTTGGTTTCCACAACAGCCATACCACATTTGAGACAATCACTTCTATGTATTATCTAGCAGATTTGTCAATGTGATAGACGTCTTACACTGGTGACGGGGCATGTGATGTTGTACATGACTTTGCACTGAGGTGTCATCTTCGTCAGATCAGTGACTGACTGCTGTCTGTGTTTGCAGTGGACAACGATCCCCATTTTATCATCAACCTGCCCAGGCAACAGAAGAACATCTGCTTCAATATCAATTCCAAACCTGGAGCGATCCTGAACTTGGTTTCAGATGCTGACTCTGGTAAGACATAAGCATGGGCTGTGGCCGTCCTGTGTATTCAGAGAGAGGCATGAAACGATGGCCTTCTGGGAATCACTACACACTTTCGCACATGCTGAATAATGCACTTTCAATCCACTTACAATGCACTTTGCAACCAGATTTTACTGAGTGAAATGGAAGCCATGTTGGATCAGGCCAATGGCCCATCCAGTCCAACACTCTGTGTCACACAGTGGCCAAAACCCAGGGGCCATCAGGAGGCCTACCAGTGGGGCCATAAGAACATAAGAGAAGCCATGTTGGATCAGGCCAATGGCCCATCCAGTCCAACACTCTGTGTCACACAGTGGCCAAAACCCAGGGGCCATCAGGAGGCCTACCAGTGGGGCCATAAGAACATAAGAGAAGCCATGTTGGATCAGGCCAATGGCCCATCCAGTCCAACACTCTGTGTCACACAGTGGCCAAAACCCAGGGGCCATCAGGAGGCCTACCAGTGGGGCCATAAGAACATAAGAGAAGCCATGTTGGATCAGGCCAATGGCCCATCCAGTCCAACACTCTGTGTCACACAGTGGCCAAAACCCAGGGGCCATCAGGAGGCCTACCAGTGGGGCCATAAGAACATAAGAGAAGCCATGTTGGATCAGGCCAATGGCCCATCCAGTCCAACACTCTGTGTCACACAGTGGCCAAAACCCAGGGGCCATCAGGAGGCCTACCAGTGGGGCCATAAGAACATAAGAGAAGCCATGTTGGATCAGGCCAATGGCCCATCCAGTCCAACACTCTGTGTCACACAATGGCTAAACCCAGGGGCCAGAACTCCTCACCCTTCTGTTTGATCAGCCTTCTTCTGCCCGCTGACCAACTGAGCATCAGCGGGCAGTGGACATCATTGCCAGTGGGCACCTGGCAAGCCTAAGGTTAGGCTGAGAGGGAGTAGTCCAAAGTCACCCGATGAGCTTCACGACAGAGCAGTGACTCGAACCCAGATCTGCCAGATTCTAGCCTGACCCTTTAACCATGTGTCTATTCACGGACATTCTGTTGGGATATTTGGTTAATATAGCAGGGTTTGCCCAGTCATAGAAGTGTGATACACGGAGCAAAGTAAATAAATCTCCCAAGAAGTACATTGCAAAAACAAGTTAAACTTACATTTATTCAAGTAGATCCAGTTCACATTCAGGTTGCAGTCAAAAGAAGAGAGAGAAGCCTGATCTAAAGAGTACTTCCCCTGTCACAAATGGACAGCTAGTCCGGCATCATGTTATGAGAGCACTGTATCCATAGGAGAGAGCTGCAGAGACATGTGTCTCCAGGGAAGGCCATGTAGAGAGAGGGAGAAGACAAAGGGAGACAGAGGGAGACAGAGGAGTAGTCAGAAGGCAGCTCCCAGGTTGAGACAAAGAGAGGCCAGCTTGTTCAGCCTCATGTGTATGGCAATATGAGGTCATTGTTTCTACAAGACAAACCTGCAGAGACATGTGTCTCCAGGGAAGGCCATGTGCAGTGAGAGTGAAAGGACAAAGGGAGAGAGAGATCAGAGGGCAGCTCCCAGGCTAAGACAAAGAGAGGCCAGCTTGTTTGGCATCACGTCTATGGGAATATGAGGGCACTGCTTCTACAGGAGAGTCCTGCAGATACATTTGTCTCCAGGGAAGGCCATGTGCAGTGAGAGTGAAAGGACAAAGGGAGAGAGATCAGAGGGCAGCTCCCAGGTTAAGACAAAGAGAGGCACCCCATTCAAGGAGATAACACCTAGACACACTTAGAGTGACGTAGCGCCCTCCAATGTCCGGCCACACTGAGTCGCTCACTCCAGCGCATTCATACTGCCATTCAAACCCTACCAAAAGCAGACCTTTTTGCCCACTCTAGACATTCATTCAGATGCCTGGATATGGGCCAGACTGTCAGTAAAAAAAAAAGTGAGCGTTCTTCCTCCTTCGGATTGCAGGGATTGCTGTCAACGGACAGCTCGTCGGGGCCAAGCAGGCCGTGAGCGAAAAGCTTCAGACCTACTTCGGCAAGATTGGGTTCGATTTCAGAGAGAAAGGCATCCGGGTCGAAGTGAGCACCGCAGCCATCACCCTGATGGACGGCTCCTCCAGTATCTCCCTCTCCTGGTCTGACACGGGGAGGATCATCCGGAGAAGGTAAGCGGGGGAGCTGGCCTACCTTTAAGCTTCCTGTCTTCCGCCAGGGCTCTTTTTGTAGAAAAAGCCCAGCAGGAACTCATTAGCATAATGGGCCACACCAAACAGCAGAAACTCATTAGCATATTAGGCCACACCCCTGACAGCACAGCTCATTAGCACATTAGGCTGCACCCCCACGTTACCAGAAGTGTGGTTATCCAGCCACACCCACCTTTTGCTTCTTATTCTGTTTACCTTGTTTGTTTTCAAAAACCAGGGCTTTTTTGGAGCAGGAACTCCTTTGCATGTTAGGCCACACACCCCTAATGTAGCCAATCCTAATGAGTTTCTGCTGTTGGGTGTGGCCTATTATGCTAATGAGTTCCTGCTGGGCCAACTTGGGAGCCAGCCGGAACTCCCTGTGCGTTCCTGCCCAAACATAGCTTTTTACCCCATCCTTCCATAAGAACATCAGAGCATCAGAAAGGCCATGTTGGATCAGGCCAGTGGCCCATCCCGTCCGACATTCTGTGTCACACAGTGGCCAAAACCCAGGTGCCTAAAGGAGGCCCACCAGCAGGGCCAAAAGGAAACCTCTACGTTCAGAAGCAGTTGACTTCTGAAACCCAGAGCCAGGAGTCAGCATCAGGGGAAGGCCTCGGCCTCTATGCCCTGTTGCTGGACTTCCAGACAAACTGGTTGGCTACTGTATGAGACAGGATGCTGGACTAGATGGACCTCTGGTCTGATCCAGCAGGGCTCTTCTTCTGTTCTTGGGATGCTGGACTAGATGGATCCCTGGTCTGATCCAGCAGGGCTCTTCTTGTGTTCTCGGGATGCTGGACTAGATGGATCACTGTTCTGATCCAGTAGGGCTTTTCTTATGTTCTCAGGACGCTGGACTAGATGGACCACTGGTCTGATCCAGCAGGGCTCTTCTGATGTTCTTAGGATGCTGGACTCGATGGACCCCTGGTCTGATCCAGCAGGGCTCTCCTTATGTCTGTAGGATGCTGGACTAGATGGACTACTGGTCTTATCCATCAGGGCTCTCCTTATGTCCTTAGGATGCTGGACTAGATGGACCACTGGTCTGATCCAGCGGGGTTCTTCTGATGGGATGCTGGACTAGATGGATCACTGGTCTGATCCAGCAGGGCTCTTCTGATGTTCTTGGGATGCTGGACTAGATGGACCACTGGTCTGATCCAGCAGGGCTCTTCTGATGTTCTTGGGATGCTGGACTAGATGGACCACTGGTCTGATCCAGCAGGGCTCCTCAGATATCCTTATGAGACCTTTCCTTTTTTCCTGGGGTGATGGTTCGACAACCGCACAAATGGCAGAAGGCCTTGGGGGGAAGGATCACCCAATGGGCTTCTCCGCGGTTCCGCAATGGCCCATCTAACCATAACAGAGAACTACTAACAGCCTGTATCCATTCCCTTGAAACTTCTAGACTACTCATCGTGGTGAACAGGAACAGCAATGCCACCATCGTCATCAACGGGAACACGACTTTCACCGTTTTGCTTCACCGAGTGTGGAAGAAGCATCCAGTCAACGTTGACTTCCTGGGTATCTACATTCCTCCCGAAAACCACTTCTCCTCCAGCATCCATGGCCTTATAGGTAAAGCCCTCTAGAATTAGGAAGACAGGAGAGGCTCATTTTTTTTGGGGGGGGGGAGGTTGATTTTTAAAAAGGGAAAAATGGAAACATACCATAGGCATATAAAATTCTCAAGTTCCTTCTGACTTCTGGTGACCCTATGACTTCATGAGCTCCCAAATGCCCTCTCATTAACAGCTTTGCTCAGGTCTTGCGAACTGAAAGCCATGCCTTCCTTGACTGAGACACAGAATCATAGAATCGTGGAAGGGATCTCCAAGGTCATCTAGTCCAACCCCCTTCACAAGGCAGGAAATTCACAAATACCTCCCTCCCCACACCCACAGTGACCCTCGCTCCAGGCCCAGAAGATGGCAAAAAAATCCCCAGGATCCCCAGCCAAACTGGCCTGGAAAAAATTGCTTCCTGACTCCAAAATGGCGATCAGCATTTTCCTGGACGTGTAAGAAATCCATCTCATATTGGGTTGTCTTCTTTTCCTGCTGCCTTCAACTTTTCCTAGCATTATTGTCCTTCCCAGTTTGGTGAAGAGCCAGTTTGGTGTCGTGGTTAAGTGCGCGGACTCTAATCTGGGAGAACTGGGTTTGATTCCCCACTCCTCCACTTGCACCTGCAGGATGACCTTGGGCAAGCCACTTGAACCTGCAGGATGACCTTCTGGCAAAGCTGTCCTTGAAAAAGAGCAGTTTCTCTCAGAGCTCTCTCAGCCCCACCGACCTCTGTTGTGGGGAGGGGAAGGGAAAGGAGTTTGTAAGCTGCTCTGAGACTCCTTTGGGTAGTGAAGGGTGGGGTATAAATCCAATCTCTCCTTCTCTTCTACTGGCACCTGCTGGATGACCTTGGGCAAGCCAAAGTTCTGATAAGAGCTGTTCTTGAAAAAGAGCCGTTTCTGTCAGAGCTCTCTCAGCCCCACCGTCCTCACAGGGTGTCTGTTGTGGGGAGGGGAAGGGAAAGGAGTTTGTAAGCTGCTCCGAGACTCCTTTAGGTAGTGAAGGGCGGGGTATAAATCCAGTCTCCTCTTCTCTTCTTCTCTTCAGTGAGTCTTGGCTTGTTGTTATTATTATTATTATTATTATTATTATTATTATTATTATTATTATTATTATTTCAATTTATACCCCGCCCTATCCCACAAGTGGGCTCAGGGCGGCTTACAGAATATAGTCCATAAAACAATAAAACAGTTGCTGGCACAGTAGACAATATCATCAAACCCCATGCCTCATTGCAGGTGGAATATAGGTGCTCCAGTGCCCAATAATATTATCTGACAGCAGGCACTGGGAAAGGGACCATAATATTGTCATTCTGTTATTGAACCACAGCTGAGACAACAATCTAAATAAAGATGCCTCCGTATTAGCTATACATAACTGGATAGTGAAGGATTCTTCCATTCTTTCATAGAGAAAAGGGTTATTTGAAATTTAAATACTGTAAAATTCTTTTGAAATGGAAGGAGGTTGATTAGTAGGCATTTTTCTAAAGGTTTGAAGGGGTCTATTGGGTTGGATTTTAGAGATTTTTAAGTCTCTGCAAAAGTTTGGACTAAGTTGCAACAGTCTGATTTGCCTCAGTGCAGACCAGTGTCTATGAATGTGGCTCCATCCCTCTGACATCAAAGATCGGATCAGTTTTCTGATAATATGACCTGAGCTTATTCATTTTAGCTTCTAGGGAGAGTTCAGGCTGGATTTAATCTAGAACTCACTTATTTGTCTTTTGAGCCACCCACGGTATCTGTAAAACTCTCCTCCCACACCGTATTTCAAATGAATCCGTTTCCTTCCGGTCAGCTGTTTCCACTGTCCAACTTTCACATCCATAAAATGGAGGGGGGAAACCTCTCCCTTTCTGATGCTAGACCATTGGGTCACCCACTGAACATCCTAAGAGTAGATTCAGGACCAAGTCAGACAAAATACTTTACAGAGCATTTGTTTCAGGAATGCACGGACCTGGTGAGAGCCACTGGCTCAGAGGGCTCGAAAGGGGCGGTTTGACAAATCTGGGCAGGCCGCTGGGAATAGATCTTTGAATCGTTTTCAGCTACATGCCTAATTCTAGATTGAGACCAGTGTTCCCTCTAAGCTGAGTTAGTGTGGGCTAGCTCAGTTTTTTAGTCTCTGGCTCACACTTTTTTGTCTTCGCTCGGGAAGGACGGCTCCGGAGCAAACTCATTTACGCAGCAGCCAAATCGCTCGCTCACAACTTTAATGCCGGTAGCTCACAAAGTAGAATTTTGGCTCACAAGACTCCACAGCTAAGAGGGAGCATTGGTTGAGACTCCATGAAGGAAGCCACGGCCTTCAGTTTGCAAGATCTGAGCAAGGCTGTTAATGATAGGATGTTTTGGAGGAGGAAAGAAGAAGAGGAGGAGGAGGAGGAGATTGGATTTATACCCCACCCTTCACTCTGGAGTCTCAGAGCGGCTTACAAACTCCTTTCCCCTCCCCACAACAGGACACCCTGTGAGGTAGGTGGGGTTGAGAGAGCTCTTTCGAGGACTGCTCTGAGAGAACTTGTGACTGACCCAAGGTCACACCAGCAGCTGCATGTGGAGGAGTGGGGAAATCAAACCCAGTTATCCCAGATTGGAGTCTGCCGCTTTTAACCACTACACCCAACTAGAGATCGATTAAGATGGGTAGCCGTGTGCTGGTCTGTTTGTAGCAGTAGGAAAGAGCAAATAGTCCGGCAGCACGTTAAAGACTAACGAAATGTGTGGCAGGGGAGGAGCTTCCGTGTGTCACTGCTCGGGTATCTGCAGAAGCGAGCTGTGACTCATGAAAGCTCCTCCCCTGCCACATATTTTGTTAGTCTTTAAGGTGCCTGCCAACCTAGCAGTTCGGAAGCAAGAAATGGCAAGTAGATAAATAGGTACCACTCCGGTGAGAAGGTCACAGCGTTCCGTGCGCCTTGGTGTTTAGTCATGCCGGCCACATGACCACGGAAACATCTTCGGACAGCGCTGGCTCTTCGGCTTGGAAACGCAGATGAGCACCGCAACCCTAGAGTCGGATCCGACTGGCTTTCGAGCAAGGGAGACCTTTACCTTTACTTTAAGGTGCTACTGGACTCTGGCTCTTTCCTACTACACCAAACTGGCTCTCATTAATTCAAAGGATCATCATAAATCAGAAACAACTTGATGGCATTTCACACTCACACACAACACTGCTAAATGAAAGCCTCAGGCTCAGCAGCAGGACATACCCGTAAAGATCAGATCCCTCAGGGGACACCAGCAGAAGAGGTCCAGTACTTTCACACACCGTTTTTTGGCTTCCAGGAGGGGGCTGATTGGTCAGTGTAAGGAAGCCAGATTGGTTCCATCCGGCACTGCATATGCCCGTCCGAGACCTCAAATTACAGTCGTTTCAAACTTTTCTCTCCACCAGGCCAGTTCATACTTGAGCCCACCGTGCACATCTACAACGAACGGCCGGGGCCAGATCCAGAGAAACCCGAAGCCACCATGGAAGTCAAGGGCCTCAAGCTCACAGTTACCAGGTAAGGCATCCGAGTCGCCTGCAGCAAAGAGACCCAGGTGTCCTTTCGCCAAGTCTTTTGATGCAGGAAGATTCTCTTTGGATGACCCGACTCGTCGCTTCCCCCAAAGACCCTCAGGCAGGCCCGTAGCTGCGATGGGGCATTCCGGGGCTCCGCCCCCTCAAAGGTGAGGCACGCCCCACAACAGCTGCTGCCCCTCTCCCCCTCCCTCCCCACCTGCGTCATTAAAAGGGCCCTCCGGCTGATTGGTGGGAGCACGTGGCCCGCCGATCAGCTGACGGGCCCTTTAAATCTTGGAGGGAGGGAGCAGCCACTGCTGAGGGGCTGGCCTCCTATTCAAGGGCTCCCTTTAAATGAGGTTTTTCAAGCAGGGGTTGCCTGGAGTTCAGGGAAGGTGTGCATTTGGAGCACGCAGGGAAGGTGTACGCAGGGAAATCCCCTCCTCCTCCTCTTCTTCGACCTGCAAATCCATTTCAGGTGGAAGAAATAACTATGCGTTGCAGGGAAAATACAGCTCCTCCCATTTCCTTAGGCCTCCCTTCAGCCTAAGTACCCTTTTCTGGCTCCTGTCTTGGTCTTCAATTTACTCCTGTCCGGTCTTGAGCCGTCCCGGCAAAAAGGAGGGCGAGAAACCAACAAAGGTGGGGGGGAGAGAGAAAGGCACGCACCCGGTAGTCGAACGGAGGGACGCCAATTGTCCTTCTTTAAACAGCCTCAGATCTGGGAACGGTCCAGAGTTGCTTCACTCTGGACTCTCTCTTTCCCGCCCGGAGCCACAAGTTTGGAAGTTCGTGCTAATTCCTCTCTCTCTCCGTACTGGCGCACCCCTTCCACGGCACTCGAGCCCGGCTTTATCCTCCCCGGCTGTTATAGAGGGCAATCTGTCTTTATTCTCTCTCGGTGCGTACCTTGCCCTACCACAACGGTTCCCAAGCCACCCGACCAACCCCTCCTCCTCCTGCCTTGGAGGGCTGGCAATCCTCTTGGGGGCAGGGCCGGCTCACCCACTAGGCGAATAGGCATTCGCCTAGAGCGCCAGGGCCTGGATGGGGAGCCAAGCTGTGCCTCCCCCCTTCTCCCCCCCTTTGGTGGCGGCGGCAGGGGAGGAGGCGGTGGTGGCAGTAGCAAAAGGGTGGTTGGCTCCAGAGGTCTCCAGGCCCCACCGGGAGGTTGGCATCTGTGCCATAAGGTAGCCTTGCCTAGGGCGCAGAAACACCTCGAGCCGGCCCTGCTGGGGGGTGGGGGGCTTCCCTGTCGTGGTTCCTCGTCCGAATGCCAGACTCTCTTCCCTGGGAACTCTCCCTCTTTGTCGCCGAGGGCCACACTTCCTCCAATTGATCCCATGTCCCTTCCTGGGGCTTGGTGAGTAGAAAGGAGGGGGGAGGGAGCTACCACCTCCTGACAACTCCTGCGACAGTAGAAATTTGTTTCTGTCCTCCTCTGCAGGGGATTCCAGAAGGATTACCGCCTGGACCGAGTGTTCGGGATTCGCGTCCAATGCTGGTTCGTGCACAACAGTGGGAAGGGCTTCCTCGATGGCCACTACCAAGATTACCTCGTCCCGACTCTGTACAGCTTTCTGAATCGTCCCTGAAGGAGAGTTTGGGAAGATCCCGCCCACTGCGACCAAGCCCCGCCCCCTCTGGCCCCGACAGCTTTGCATTAATTCGCTGTCGGACCGGGTGGGAAAGCTTCCCTGATAGACGAGTCCGAGCGAGCAGGCTTGATCTAGCCCGCAGAACTCACTTCGCCTGTCACTCCGTAACAGAGTCCAACACTATACCAAACTCACACCTGTCACGATCCGGAACCATTCTCAAGGGTGTCAACCGAGGGCGAAGTCACAGAAGGGGAAGGGGGTCCGGGCAGAAAAGCAGTTGATGTCCCAATGTCATTCACTTATAAAATGTAGTTCTGTTTACTGGATATTAACACCACGTTTTGAAATATAACTTAAGCAATGCAATTAAAAAGACAATTAAAGGGGCGCCTGTGTCCTGTGCGGTTTTGCCGGAGTTCGCGAAATCCTTGAACGAGGGATGGGATGGCGCACTGGTTAGACTGTCACACTAAGACCTAGAAAGACTGGGTTTGAATTCTTCGCTCAAGCAGGGAGGGCCGCCAGGTGACCTTGGGTCGTTGCAGTTATCTCAGCCTGATCTACCCTTACAAGGTGGTGGTGGTTGTGAAGATTAAGTGGAGGGAGGAACCAGGGTGAAAAGACATTTTGGGTCCCCGATCAGGGCAGAAAGTGAGATATGAGTAAACAAGTAAGCAAGCATCTTGGCACTGTGGCCAAGTTAATGTCGAAAACATCTGCAGTGAGCTATTATTATCATCATACAGTATTGTGTGTAGAATAGACAGGAGCAATGCTCCCTCTAAGCTGTGGAGTCTTGCGAGCAAAAATTCTACTTTGTGAGCTACTGGCATCGAAGTTGTGAGCGAGCGATTTGGCAACTGCATAAGTTAGTTTGCTCCGGAGCCGTCCCTTTCTGAGCTAAGACAACAATGTGTGAGCTGGAGGCTAAAAAATAGTGAGCTAGCTGACACTAACGCAGCTTAGAGGGAACATTGCTCAGGAGATCCTAAGATTGTCTGGCAGCCAGCAGTTCTAGCTCTTTTAGTGTTAGGCAACACTCGGTGGCGAGCTAGACTTGTTTCTTTAAGGCAAGAGACGTTTCAGGGGTGTAGAATAGTCAGGAGCAATGCTCCCTCTAAGCTGTGGAGTCTTGCGAGCAAAAATTCTACTTTGTGAGCTACCGGCATCAAAGTTGTGAGTGAGCAATTTAGCGACTGCATAAGAGCCGTCCCTTCCTGAGCTAAGACAACAATGTGTGAGCCGGAGGCTAAAAACCTGTGAGCTAGCTCACACTAACGCAGCTTAGAGGGAACATTGGTCAGGAGATCCTAAGATTGTCTGGCAGCCAGCAGTTCTAGCTCTTTCAGTGTTATGCAACACTCGGTGGCAAGCTAGACTTGTTTCTTTAAGGCAAGAGACGTTTCAAGGGTGGTTTGGCACTGCCGGCCTCTGTGTCACGCCCCTGGTATTCTTTGGAGGCGGCCATTGCAAATACTAGCCATGGCTGACCCTGCTTAGCTTCCGAGATCGGGCTAGCCTGGGCTATCCACGTTTTGAGCTCATCGCTGTGGAAGCAGAGCTTCGTCATGAACACATGAAGCTGCCCCTTATCGAATCAGACCAATGGTCCCTCAAGGTCAGTATTGTCTACTCAGACTGAGGTCCTTCACATCACCTCCTGCCTGGTCCTTTTTAACTGGAGATGCCGGGGATTGAACCTAGGACCTTCTGCATGCCAAGCAGGTACTTTGCCACTGAGCCGTGGCCCCTTCTCTGAATGGAACTCTCACACGCAGCTGCCTTATACGGAATCAGACCCTTGGTCCCTCAAGGTCAGTATTGCCTGCGCAGACTGGCAGCAGCTCTCCAGGGTCTCAGGCCGAGGTCTTCCCCATCACCTCCTGCCTGGTCCTTTTAAACTGGAGATGCCAGGGATTGAACCTGGGACCTTCTGCATGCCAAGCAGATGCTCTGCCACTGAGCTACAGCCCCACTTCATGGCTATCCAGGGTCTTTTCCATCACCTCCTGCCTGGTCCTTTTAAACTGGAGATGCCGGGGATTGAACCTGGGACCTTCTGCATGCCAAGCAGAGGCTCTGCCACTGAGCTACAGCCACACTTCATGGCTCTCCAGGGTTTCAGGCAGAGATCTTTCCCATCACCTACTGCCTGGTCCTTTTTAACTGGAGATGCCTGGGATTGAACCTGGGACCTTCTGCCTGCCAAGCAGATGCTCTTCCATTGAGCCACAGCCCTACTTCAAGGCTCTCCAGGGTCTCAGGCTCAGATCTTTCACCTCACCTCACACACTCAGCCCTTTTAAGTGGAGATGCCGGGGATTGAACCTGGGAACCTTCTGCATTCCAAGCGGAGGCACTGGCAGTGAGCCACAGCTCCTCTCCTGAATGGAACTCCCACATGAAGCTGCCTTATACTGAGTCAGAACCTTTTGTCCATCAAGATCAGTATTGTCTACTTCGGCTGACAGCAGCTCTCCAGAGTCTCACCCAGCACCCGGTCCATTTAACCGGAGATGCCAGGAATTGAACCTGGGACCTTCTGCATGCCAAGCAGAAGCTCTAACTCTTCCATTGAGCCACAGCCCCACTTCATGGCTCTCCAGGGTCTCAGGCTGAGATTTTTCCCATCACCCAACACCCAGTCCTTTTAACTGGAGATGCCGGAGATTGAAGCTGGGACCTTCTGCATGCCAGGCAGACAATCTACCACTGAGCCATAGCCTGTCCCCACACAGACTTCCACAGACCTATTCCACCAGGGGAGGTGCTCTTAGCTCAGGATAAGGCTCTTTGGGCCAGAGGAGAGTATAGATCAAGAAGCACCTGAAGAAGTGAGCCATGACTCACGAAAGCTCCTCCTTGCCACACATTTTGTTAGTCTTTAAGGTGCTGCTGGGAGCCAGTTTGGTATAGTGGTTAAGTGCGCGGACTCTAATCTGGGAGAACCGGGTCTGATTCCCCACTCCTCCACTTGCGCCTGCTGGATGACCTTGGGCAAGCCATAGTTCTGTCAGAGCTGTTCTTGAAAAAGAGCAGTTTCTCTCAGAGCTCTCTCAGCCCCACCTACCTCACAGGGTGTCTGTTGTGGGGAGGGGAGGGGAAGGGAAAGGAGTTTGTGAGCTGCTCTGAGACTCCTTTGGGTAGTGAAGGGCGGGGTATAAATCCAATCTCTTCTCTTTTCTCTTCTTGCTCTTTTCTGCTGCAGTGGAGAGTACTACGCCAAGGAGTAGATCCACAAGATCCAACCCCCTGTCTAATTACCTGGCAACCTTCACTCTCCAGTTCTCAAGCTTCCCAGTAATCAATTTCTCCTTGCTACTGACTTGTTTTTGGTCGGGACTGCCAGAAATGAAGGTTACCAAGAGTTCCACCAAATCTCTGAAAGGGTACAGCTTTTATGACAGGCAACGTCTCACGCTTAACATCATAAAATATCCCAGTTTAAGTGGGCTGGAAGAAATACTGTTAAATAGCAAAACATCATAGAGTTCGTTAAGTGGCTTAGACAGCAAGAAATCTCTAGTCCAAGACTGCTGTCTTAAAAAATAAGACCCCGCTTCCTTAGTTTGGATCTGCAAACAGATTTTAAAAACTCCAGCGCTGGCACAGGGGGCGGTCGCAGCTTCGGGGGCACCTTCAGGCTGGATACTTTTCAAGAGTCCGTCGGCCTTCGCCATTCAAGCCTGTTTGGAGATGTCTTCATACGGCACGCCTTCGACCTGGCGTCCCTTTAGAGGCCCCTGAAGGAGGAGGAGGAGATTCAAAAGTAAGAAGAGAAACTTTAAGGCAGATGATGACCTGCAACAAACCATGACCTGAGTGATAAAGGTTAGCTTAAGACAGGGATCCCCAACTTCTTGGGATCTGTGAGCACGTTGGGAATTCTGACATGGCACGGTGGGGGCACAAGCCACAAAATGGCTGCCGCACGAGGCAGAGCCAGCCACAAAATGGCCGCAGCAGCATAACTTTAGCCACTCAGTGCAGACCCTTGTGCTGTTCCGGCAGCTGCTTGCAAAGCATCTGTCATGATCTGGGCTGTGCCACCGGAGGCCTACTAGGCCCAGGGAGCCTGGCTAGCAGTAGGTGAGCAGTAGGCCTACAACTCCCAGAAACCCCTGAGAGGTTTTGGAACCAAAATTGACCAATAGGGAAGAAGAGGGCTGGGGAACAAAAGGGCTGGTGCCAGAAAAGAAGCTGTTCTTTCTTCCAGAGGGCAGAGCCAGAAGGAAGGCTGCTGCAGGGAAGAGACCCTCATCCTGAGGGAAGGGTGAGTAGTCTGGTGCCACTTGGATAGTCTCAGAGTGGCTTACAAACTCCTTTCCCTTCCCCTCCCCACAACATACACCCTGTGAGGTAGGTGGGGCTCAGAGAGCTCTCTCAAGGACTGCTCTTGAGAGAACAGCTCTGAGAGAACTTGTGACCGACCCAAGGTCACACCAGCAGCTGCATGTGGAGTGGGGGATCAAACCCGGTTCTCCCAGATTAGATTAGTGTCCTTTTAGCTGGAAAAGCTGGGGATTGAACCGGGGACCTTCTGCATGCCAAGCAGATGCTCTGCCACTGAGCCATGGCCCCTCTCCGTGATGCTGCCTTCTACTGAATCAGACCCTCGGGTCCATCAGGGTCAGGACTGTCTACTCAGACTGGCAGCGCCTCTCCAGGGTCTCAGGTCCTGACCTTTCACATCACTCGATCCTTTTACCTGGAGATGCTCTGGACTGAGCTCAGAACACATGAAGCTGCCTGATACTGAATCATACCATCAAGGTCAGTATTGTCTACTCGGACTGGCAGCAGCTCTCCAGGGTCTCAGGCTGAGGTCTTTCCCATCACCTACTGCTTGGTCCTCTTAACCGGAGATGCTGGGGATTGAAGCTGGGACCTTCTGCGTGCCAAGCAGACACTCTTCCATTGAGCCACAGCCCCACTTCATGGCTCTCCAGGGTCTCAGGCAGAGGTCTTTCCCATCACCTCCTGCCTGGTCCTCTTAACTGGAGATACTGGGGATTGAACCTGGGACCTTCTGCATGCCAAGCAGAGGCTCTGCCACTGAGCCTCAAAGGAAGGGGAAGGCATTGAGGGGAAGGGGAGAAGAGCATTTTAATCTCTCTGATGGTTCTAATATATGTGCCGTCGGGTGGCCAACACCAAAGGAGACTTACCGATTCGATGAGTATTGTTGCCGAAAACGTTTTCTCGCTTATGCAGACTAAAGTAGCTTCGTTTCCTCTGTAGCCACCATTCAAAACCAGCACCTTTTTGCCTGAAACATGGAAGGGCAGAACATAAATATTCCTTATTTAGAATACTGCTACGCCACCTCTTCAGGTTCCTGCTCAAGGCTGGCCTGCAGTTAGAACAAGATAAAAATATAAAACAAGTGTAGAAACGATCCATAAAACAGAAGCAAACTCGTAGGAATAAAAAACCCTATTTAAAAGCCTGGGGGGGGGGGGGGGGGGGGGGAGGTGTGTTTTAGCCTGGTGCCTAAAAGAAACTAAAGTAGGTGGCCAGGCAAGCCTCAAGGGGGAAGGTGTTCCAAAAGTGAGGAGCCACCACAAAAAAGGCCCTGTCTCTAATTGCCACCTGCCTCACCTCTAAAGGTGGGGGCACAGAGAGCAGGGCTGGAGAGGCAGATCTTGATTGGTGGGCTGGATAAACGAAGTCTCCCGTCTACTCCAAATGCTCAAAGCTTTCTTAGATCTGCTCTCCGAAATCCTATTTAAACCCTTGCTATCTGCTCTTCACGAAAAACAGCTGAGTGGTGGGGAACTTGGAAGCACTTAAACAACTGCTTTCTGCTCCCGACGAAAAACTGTGAAAACTGCCCCCTGCTTTCTGCTCACCGCTGCTTTTGAAGGCGAGCAGAAAGCAGGGGGTGAAATAGCTCTGAGCCACTGCTCCCTGCCCAAATGCAGCGGGGAGCAGAAAGCAGGGGTTTAAACTTTAAACGGCTCGCAAACCAATCTGGTTAGCGAACCAGCGTATCAGTTCGTGGTTCGTGGCTGAACCGCAAAAAACTTGCAAAAATGTGGCTCGTGCCCATCCCTAAGGGGGAGCCTTCCTTGTCTTCAACACAAACACAAACTTTGCTCCGGAGGAACAAAGTTCTGCTGCTAGCAAACCAGGTATGCTGGATCCAATTAGTTACTTCCCACCTTAACAACCTCCCAAAGTACCAGACCTTTGCATAATGCAAAAATATTATGGAGCCACTCGCCCTCTACCTCCCTCCACCCAGCTTGCCAGGTGGCTTACCTGGTGCGGGAATCACGGTCTCCAGGTGTGTCTGGTCGAGTTTCAGCTTGTCTCCGGAATCAATCAACTTGACAACCGCTGTGTATTTGTTGATTACTTCCTGTCAAAGACATAGATGCTTATTAAAGGAAAGTAAACCTGTTGTCGTAAGAAGAGCCCTGCTGGAAAAGTTCATTTGGTCTAGGATCTTGACTGACACAGTGGCCAACCAGTTCCTCTGGAGGGCCAACAACAGAGCATTGAGGCCGAGGCCGAGGCCTCCCCCTCGTGATAAGGACATCAGAAGAGCCCTGCTGGATCAGAGGAGTGGTCCATCTAGTCCGCTCCTGCAGGAAATGACCCCTGCTAACAACACTGCCAACACCCAGTTAACCCAGACGATGCTATTGGCCGGCTGTTGTCTGAGGATGCGGCTAAATCCGCCATCTGACATTAACTAGCACTTTATATTTCATAATACTCTTAACTGTATTGCTTTGTTTGATCTAATTCTGTTTGAATTCTTTTATGTTTTGTGTGAGCCGCCCTGAGCCTGCCACGTTAGGGAGGGTGGGATATACATGAAACGAATAAATAAATAAATACACCGATCAATGAGATTGAAAGGTGCTTGACTGAGGCCGGCCACACCCAAACAGCCATAGTCTGGTTCACCTGGCAAGCCTCAGAAGCCCCTTTGTGACTGTAGCAGCAGTCGGCAGGACAGACAGATATAGGCATCGTTGGAAAACTCGGCTTCCGGGCTTTTCAGTGCTCACGCCTCCACCCTCTGGCCATGCCTGGCTTTTTCGGACAGCGGAGGACGGCGAGAGTCACTGAGAGGTAAACAGCAAAGGAATTCACCTTCACGATGGCCTTCTTTTTGTGGTATTTCTCACCGAGTTTCTTCGTAATGATCTTGACCACAATTTCCTGGAAGGAAGAGGGGAAACAGAGAGGGAGGGGGCTTTAGAGTATATCACATGGGCCCTGACCTGGACGGCCCAGGGTAGCCCAACCTCATCAGATCTCAGAAGCTAAGCAGGGTCGGCCCTGGTTAGTACTTGGATGGGAGACCGCCAAGGAAGCCTAGAGTTCCTATGCAGAGGCAGGCAACGGCAAACCCCCTCTGTTCCGTCTTCTGCCTCGAAAACCCTGTGGGATCGCTAGAAGTCTCCTGAGACTTGAGGGCACTCTCCACCACTAAAGGTGTAAAGGTAAAGGTTCCCTTGCTCGAAAGCCAGTCGAATCTGACTCTAGGGTTTGCGGTGCTCATCTCCGTTTCAAAGCCGAGGAGCCAGCGCTGTCCGAAGACATTTCCGTGGTCATGTGGCCGGCATGACTAAACACCAAGGCGCACGGAACGCTGTGACCTTCCCACCGAAGTGGTACCTATTTATCTACTTGCAATTTCTTGCTTTTGAACTGCTAGGTTGGCAGGAGCTGGGGCCAGAGACGGGAGCTCACTCCGTCACGCGGCACACTCGGGTCTCGAACGGCTGAACTATGTAAAAATTCCAGCCTCAAGAGGACAAAACCATCCCAGAAAAGTCCTTACAGGGAGACTCATTCACATTTATCAGAGTCATCCACTTACTGTCAAATCTGGTTACCGAAGGAATACAAACTGTTGAGGCACTTACACATTCCTTTCTTTCTTTTCCCTACTCCTCTGACCTGCAGGTCTTGAGTAGTATCAATCAACCCCAACAAGGAATAAAAGGGAACACTGGTCACAGGCTGTCCAAGGTCTCACGGCCTGAACAAGGAATTTAGCTTTAAAAAGAATCCATTAAGAGCCAGTTTGGTGTCGTGGTTAAGTGCGTGGACTCTAATCTGGGAGAACCAGGTTTGATTCCCCAACTCCTCCACTTGCACCTGGCTGGATGGCCTTGGGCAAGCTGTAGTTCTGATAAGAGCTGTTCTTGAAAAAGAGCCATTTCTGTCAGAGCTCTCTCAGCCCTACCTACCCTCCCAGGGTGTCTGTTGTGGGGGAGGGGAAGGGAAAGGAGTTTGTGAGCCGCTCTGAGACTCCTTCGGGTAGTGAAGGGCGGGGTATAAATCCAATCTCTTCTTCTTCTTCTTTTATAATAACTAAATTCAGGTGGGGTAGCCGTGTTGGTCTAAAGCGGCAGAACAAAGTTAGAGATCAGTGGCACCTTAAAGACCAACAAGGTTTTAACCATTTATACCTTGAATAAAAGTTTGTTGGTCTTAAAGGTGCCACTGGACTCTAACTTTGTTCTTTTGGTAACCAAAGTTATCTAGAGGAAGCTCATTTTGCCGGCCCACAAATGGTCTAATCCATTTCTCTCCACCCTCCTTACACCATGGACAGAACACGCTTCACAGACTCGATGATCCCTAAACCACAGTATACCTAATACAAGGCCTCCAGAGATCGCAGAGAGTGGCGCATTTAGTCTTGCAAGCATAACTGCTCACCTGTATTTTGGAGTGTCAGCAAGCTGCCAAAGGGTTCTGTGTATATGCTGTGTAGCCTCTCCCCCTCCCCCTCCCTTTGTTTGCCATCAGCTTGTTAAGTGCATTCCTTTCTATAAATACTAGTATTGCTTTGAAATGTAGTTATCTTGCAAGGTCACAGGTGTGGAGCTGGAGTCGTTTGGTCTTCGCTTAATCTATTATGAGTTAGAGCATGAGAAGCAATTAATTGTTTATCTTCTAGGAGCAGTTGATTCTCAGGCTTTAGGCGCGAGTTTCAACTCACCCGTGCAAGCGGGAACCAAGTCTATTGATTATTGCATTTTATGAACCTGTTTATTATTCTGTGCCCTGCACCCTGTAGTCATTCCAAACAGTCCCTGTGTTCCAGTTTCTTCATTGCTTCAATAAATATTACTTTGCTACAAACGTGTATTCATTTGAATGCGTGGAGGATTTGGACATGGAGCTGGAAAGTCAAACAAGTATTTCGGGATCGCAACTTACAGGCTGCAGCCAGTAGTCAGTCCGAGCCGATTTCTTCTTCTCTTCTTCAAACTGAGGGAGAAAAGGAGATTGAAATGGTTCAGCTACAAATCAGACTGAAGGATGACTTTGGGCAAACGTCACAAGGTAAAAAGGGAGCGCGAATCGTTTGAAATGGAATTTTGTGACTGGCAGCCAGGGCAGATCACATGAACGCATGAAGCTGTGCCTTATACCGAACCAGACTATTGGTCCATCAAGGTCAGCATTCTCTACTCTGACTGGCGGCTGCTCGCCAGGGTCTCAGACGGAGGTTTTTCACATCTATTGCCTGGTCCTTTTTAACTGGAGATGCCAGGGATTGAACCTGGGACCTTCTGCACGCCAAGCAGAGGCTCTGCCACTGAGCCACGGCCCCTCCCCATCAGCCAAGACAGGCTTAAAAAGGGTTAGCAGCTGAAAACTGGGATTCTTGACCAGAGCACATGACCAGAGCACATGAGCTCCATTCTTTTTGCCAGGGGTCCCTTCAGATTCTGAGAGACAGTGGTGAGCAATGCTCCCTCTAAGCTGTGGAGTCTTGTGAGCAAAACGTCTCCTTTGTGAGTTACCAGCATTAAAGTTGTGAGCGAGGTTTACAAGATTATGCATAGGATAGAACAGGTAGAGAAAGAAGTCCCTTTCTCCCTTTCTCACAATACAAGAACTCGTGGGCACTCCATGAAATTGCTGAGCGGTCGGGTTAGAACAGATGAAAGGAAGTCCTTCTTCACCCAAAGAGTGATTAACTCATGGGATTCACTGCCACAGGAGGGGGCGGCAGCTACAAGCACGGACAGCTTCAAGAGGCAATTAGATAAGCATATGGAGCCAAGGTCCATCAGTGGCTATTAGCCAGAAGATATAGATAGGAACTCTCAGTCTGGGGCAAGGGATGCTCTGTATTCTTGGTGCTTGGGAGGGGGGCAACATTGGGAGGGCTTCTGCTGGACCTCCTGAGGGCACCTGGTCTTTTTTGGCCAATGTGTGACAGAGTGTTGGACTGGATGGGCCACTGGCCTGATACAACATTGGCTTCTCTCATGTTCTTATGAGCGATTTGGCTGCTGCATCAATTAGTTTGCTCTGGAGCCCGTCTTCCTGAGCGAAGACAAAAGTGTGTGAGCCGGAGGCTAAAAAACTGAAGCTAGCTCACACTAACTCAGCTTAAGGGGAACACTGGTGGTGAGGGCCACGCCAAAATGGCTGCCATGGGAGAAGCAGCCAAGCCCCCAGTCGGCTGCCACAGGAGGACTGACCCTGGATTGGACGACCGTGCCGTGCCTGGCTTCTGGCACCTGATACTCGGAGCCTTCAAGCCAGTACGTATAGACTTCTGAGAGTCAAAAAACCTTTCGTCAGATACCTTCACTTGCCGGGGGGACCTTGGACTGCTCTGCCTTCCTACCCCCCACACAGGGATGTTGCGTGGCTAAAACAGAGGAGGAAGAGGCCCGGCGCAGGGCTCTTTTTGTAGCAGGAACTCCTTTGCATATTAGGCCACACACCCCTAATGTAGCCAATCCTCCAAGAGCTTACAGAACTGTAGTGTAATCCTTATTTCTTATAGTTACCTAGGTCTTAAGGGAAAAGTTATAGATGCAGATAAATACTTACAAGAAATTACCCTAAGCGTAGATGATTCCAGAAATATTTTTTTACAGTAATTATAAAGCACAGAAATATAATGTAGGCAAGAGATTAAAGCTGGGGCAATAAAAACAGTCCTCTAATTTAGAACCATTAAAGACCTCAGTTCTTGCACAGCAAACTGAGTGATACTGGATCCCTTCTTGACCCCCTTGCTTTCAATGCACAGCTATTTGTAAATATAAGTGCAGTTCAGAAACTGTTTAATCAGTGAAGCTCACTGGTGCTTCGTGTGCAATGAGGGGGAAATAGCAGAGGTTGCACAAATTACAGTGCCAGCCTAAGGACAATTAACACCCCTCCAAACCAAATTACTTCAATGAATTTAGAAGGGTGTAGCTCTGTTTAGGAGTTCACAGCAAGAAATCTCTAGTCCAAGACTGCTGTCTTAAAAAATAAGACCCCGCTTCTTTAGTTTGGATCTGCAAACAGATTGTAAAAACTCCAGCGCTGGCACAGGGGGCGGTTGCAGTTCGGGGGCACCTTCAGGCTGGATACTTTTCAAGAGTCCGTCGGCCTTCGCCATTCAAGCCTGTTTGGAGATGTCTTCATACGGCACGCCTTCGACCTGGCGTCCCTTTAGAGGCCCCGATTCGATGAGTATTGTTGCCGAAAACGTTTTCTCGTTTATGCACACTAAAGTAGCTCCGTTTCCTCTGTAGCCACCATCCAAAACCAGTACCTTTTTGCCTGGTGCGGGAATCACGGTCTCCAGGTGTGTCTGGTCGAGTTTCAGTTTGTCTCCGGAATCAATCAACTTGACAACCGCTGTGTACTTGTTGATAACTTCCTTCACGATGGCCTTCTTTTTATGGTATTTGTCACCGAGTTTCTTCGTAATGATCTTGACCACAATTTCAGGCTGCAGCCAGTAGTCAGTCCGAGCCGATTTCTTCTTCGCTTCTTCAAACTCTATGATCTCCTCCAGTGCTGTCTTTCTCTTCTTTTCTTTAGACTCCCCCGGGGCGGGAGGAATGTCTTTGCGCTTCACCGTTGGTGCTGTTCCTGCCGTCTTCAGCCCGCTGGGCCCGAATAAACTGTGGAAAAGAAGCTGGGGGTTACTATACCTGCCGCAAGCCCTTCTAGGAAGGCGAGGATGTCCCAAAGGCCCTGGTGGATCTTCATCCCCCCCCCCCCCAAACCCCCCCCCAGAGCAGCCATCCTCTGCCTCCACAAAACGCCTGAGTCTCCGCTTGGCATTCCCTAGACGACAAACACCATGGAGCCCTATCTCTCCGCCTACTTCATTCGAAAAGATGAGAGCCAGTTTGGTGTAGTGGTTAAGTGTGCGGACTCTAATCTGGGAGAACCGGGTTTGATTCCCCACTCCTCCACTTGCACCTGCTGGTGTGACCTTGGGTCAGTCACAAGCTCTGGCACAGCTGTTCCTGAAAGAGCAGTTTGTGTCAGAGTTCTCTCAGCCCCACCCACCTCACGGGGTGTCTGTTGTGGGGAGGGGAAGGGTCTGAGACTCCAAGTGAAGGGCAGGGTATAAATCCAATCTCTTCTTCTTCTTCTAAAAATATTTTTACTTTCCCAGCAAGAAACAGAAAACAAAGGGGGAGTGGAGTGGGGGGGAAATATCCAGAACCTGACAAAGGTTAGTCAAATGTAAGAAAGGGGGCCAATATTACAAACTTAATGAAGGAAATATATAAAGATACATGTATTTATTCATCACAAATTTTAAAATTACATAAGGGCCCAATCACACGTTATGTATAAATAACAAACGATAAAACACAAGGGCTGATAAACCTGACCTGACGCGTTTTGGCCTACATAGGCCTTCCTCAGAGGTCAATAGTGAGGAACATATTGGCTATTATACAAATATAGTACGGTAAAGGTAAATGTTCCCTTGCTTGAAAGCCAGTCGGATCCGACTCTAGGGTTGTGGTGCTCATCTCTGTTTCAAAGCCGAAGAGCCAGCGCTGTCTGAAGACATTTCCGTCGTCATGTGGCCGGCATGACTAAACACCGAGGCACACAGAACGCTGTTACCTTCCCACTGAAGTGGTACAATCATGTAAATACAAGTATAAATTCCATAAGGACCAGAAGCAAGTTGTTTCAAGATAAAACCACCAGGCACAGAGTAAAAAATAAATGAGGCCTCTAACAGTGCAATCGCATGCCAAGTGGTTCTCAGATATGAACGTCTGGTCCAGGAATCGCCTTCCTATGGTTGTAGAGCCAAATTGTCCTCAAGCAAAGAGCAGTGGGGGGGAAATATCACCAGCTCTGAAGGACATTAAAGTCCAGGGAAAAGGAAACAGAAATTATGAGAAGAAGAAGAAAAGAGATTGGATTCACACCCCGCTCTTCACTACCCAAAGGTGTCTCAGAGTGGCTAACAAACTCCTTTGTAATCATTTATCCAAGGAATCTTAAGGTAAAGGTAAAGGTTCCCTTGCTCGAAAGCCAGTCGAGCCCGACTCTAGGGTTGTGGTGCTCATCTCCGTTTCAAAGCCGAAGAGCCAGCGCTGTCCGAAGACGTTTCCGTGGTCATGTGGCTGGCATGACTATACACCAAGGCGCACGGAACGCTGTTATACAGCGTTATACAGGCATTAAAGCTGTGAGCGAGCCATTTGGCTACTGCATAAATTAGCTGGCTCTGGAGCCCTCCTTCCTGAGCTGAGACAAAAAGGTGTGAGCCGGAGACTCAAAACCTGAGAGTGACAGTTTCCTGTTTACTGCTTGGGACCGAGCTAGAGCATCTACACATCAAAGGTTTCTGGGGTACCAAGAGTTTCACACCTTGACCAGATGCTTCCATTGAGTTAAAGGTTAAGATCTGAATATTGCCCACTCCCTCTAGGTATATACGTCACATCCCAGTAACCAATAGGTATAGGGAATGGGACGGACTATAGGTATGAGGTTGGCACAGATGCCAACCCCCAATATAGGTTATAAAAGGCGAGGATCAACCTTTGTTCCACGCTAGCCATCTTTACCCCACCTAGGCAACTTAAGTTCTGCTGCAGGTAATTCTCACATGCTCTCTTGGACTGCAGCCAGGAAGCCCACAAGTGTTGGCTGGTTCCAACTGTGTGAAGTAGAATCCCTCTAGTTAGATCTTTTGTTCCCGCGGACTCTAATCTGGGAGAACCGGGTTTGATTCCCCACGCCTCCACTTGCACCTGCTGATGTGACCTTGGGTCAGTCACAAGCTCTGGCACAGCTGGCACAGCTGTCCTTGAAAAAAAGCAGTTTGTGTCAGAGCTCTCTCAGCCCCACCCACCTCACAGGGTGTCTGTTGTGGGGAGGGGAAGGGAAAGGAGTTTGTAAGCCGCTCTGAGACACCTTTGGGTAGTGAAGGGCGGGGTATAAATCCAATCTCATCTCATCTCATCTCATTGAGAAGGTCAAACTCTCTTCTGGAGCAGATAAGTAAAACCGCTACCCTTTTCTGTGTTCCCATCCAATTAGTTAAAGGTTATTATTTTCTACACTGATTGTTTTCTATTTCTATTGTACCTAAAGGAACTTGTGAGCGTGTGTGAATCTGCTTTTGTATGCCTGTGAATTCAAGTATTATTCAGTAAAGAGAACAACTTATTCTATAAACATCCAGTCGTGTTGTCTCTTTCTTGGGGGGAAAAGGAGCCTCAGTTCTGGTTCTGCTCTCTGTATACACTGGTCTAAACCCACCCCTAGCCCCCGCTGTAAATAAAGTGGGAATCAGGCTAACATTCCGCACCGCTTAATGCGTCATGCCAATACTTATGCTCTGCTTCAGTTCTTCGATTCCTAGCCGGTTCCTGCCTTCTACGATCCTCATCCTATTTGCACTGCTTATTGCAGGGGTCCTCAACCGTTCTGAGCCTGCGGGCACTGTTGCAATTCTGATACAGCGTGCTATGTGCAGGGCAAAATGGCTTCTATGGGAGGTGGAGCCAGCCACAAAATAGCTGCCACGGCTTATAGTCAGCCACACAGTGAAGAGCCTTATGCTGCAGTGGCGGCTGCCGCCAAAGCGATGTGTTTTAAAAATCCAAAGCCTAATACAACTCTCCAGTGGCCAATCAGAAGCCTTACTGGGCAACGGCCCCTCTTGGCCCCACCCACTTTCTAAAACACCTGGTGGGCACCAGGAAAGGTGTCCGTTGGGGATCCCTGGCTTATTGACGGTCTCATTTTGTTGACTGTATTGACTACACTCTGCGTAGTCCGCCTTAAGCCCTGGTGAGAAAGGGGACCATAAACAGTGTAAATCAAGGCATCAAACACTGTCTGCTTACTTTTTTATGTATATATATATTTTCCTATTTTTGTATTAACATTTAGAGCAACAACCACCTAGTTCACAGTTTAATGTTTCTAGTTATAGTTTTGTTGTGTTGTGTGTTATATAAAATAAAATAAAAAAATGTTTTTTTAAAAAACCAACACTGTCTGCACTTGATCTCCCCCCGTGCAATCATGAATGCTGGAACTTTTTAAACAAAAGCTGAAAACTGACAAAAACATCAAGAAAGCAGGGTCCAGACCTCAGGATCCAGGCTCAAACCCGCTGGGATGCGTGTGGAAGGGGCACAAGAACACGAGAGCAGACGGTGCCATTCTACGGCAAGGAGGGCAGAGTGAACAGACTGAACACGGGCAGGGCAGGAGCTGGAGAAAACTCACCTGGGTTTAGGCTGTGGCGCTGTGGAAGTGCTTGCTCCTTTGTTCAAATTAAATACCACTGGAAAGAAAAAAAGGAAAACCACTTTTTCAAAAACATTCCAGGCAGTGCTCCCTCTAAGCTGCATGTGTGAGTGGCCGCTCATGAACACCGGGAGCCCCGCTCAGCAGCAGTCTGGAGCCATGCTGGGTCTTGCGCTGCCCATTGCCCAGGGGTCATTTCCTGCAGGAGCGCACAGGAGCAGAGCTCCGGCAGTAAAGAGCCCAGGGGGTGGGCACATGCAACAAGCCCCGCCCCCTGCTCCCAGCAGCTCTCAGTCAGAGCAAGAAGCAGCCAGGTAAGCTGCAGAGCCCACCCACCCACCCCGGTCCAAAACAGTCCAGTGTCACCTTTAAGACCAAGTTTTATTCAGGTACAAGCTCTCCCTCCTCTGTGAGGACAGATCTGCACGTTCTCCCACCCCCCCCCCCCAAGCACACAAGCACAAAACAACCAC